CCTGTTGGTTAGCCGTTAGCGGTGCTGCTAACATTACTAGCTCTCCTGTTTAAACACTGATTGGTTGTTTACAATGAAACATGATCAGAGATCAGAGACTAGAAACACATGTTCTACTGAGTCAGTAACACTTTATTTACACTGTGATGGTTAACGGTAAACTTTATTTACACTGTGACGGTTAACGTTAACTTTATTTACACTGTGATGGTTAACGATAAGACTTTATTTACACTGTGATGGTTAACGATAAGACTTTATTTACACTGTGATGGTTAACGATAAAACTTTATGTACACTCTGATGGTTAACGTTAAAACTTTATTTAAATTGTGATGGTTAACGATAAAACTTTATTTACCCCGTGATGGTTAAAGCAAAAAATTTATTTACACTGTGATGGTTAACGTTAAAACTTTATTTACACTCTGATGGTTAACGTTAAACTGTGAGGAGGGTCAGCTCTATGGCAGCACATTACTAACAGTGATGGGTGTGCTGAGTAACTAATATTTACACCAAAAGGCTGAATAATCCTCGTAGACTTGGGTCTAGATCCTGATGAGTCCATCAGGACATGATGTCGCTGCTCAAGTCTCTCATATTTTCATTTTCTCATCATCACACGTAGTCTTTCTTTCCTTCGTCTTCCTGTTTGTTTCTTTTGAGTTCCACCTTCAGTGTTTCTCTTTCATTCCTCTTCATCCTTCCATTTCATCTCTCCTCCTCTTCCTCTTCCTCACCCCCCTCCTCTCAGTCAGTCTCCGAAGGTGGAGAGGGTGGAGGAACCCGACGTCTTCTCTCCACCAATCAGGTTCAGTCACACAGTTGCACAGCATGGTTGCACAGTGAGTCCTGCCTGTAGACGGTTCAGGTTAAAGTGAACACACGCAGTCAGACTGGATGAAGTCTGTTCTTTAACGTTTGACTCCTTGATTCCTTCCTAACTCCTCTCCTCTGTCTCCTCCCTCCTGCCTGAAGCTTGAGAAGTATTTTTATCTTGACGCTCGTCTCCGTGTTGTCGCTCCTGCACACACTTTATACTTCTACTACATCTCAGAGGTGAATGTTGTACTATTTATCTTAAGTAGCTTCAGTTACTTTTTACAGATTCAAATTAATAGAACATATAAATAAAAGATGATGTGTTATTATTATAGATTAATACTACCAGCAGTGTATAAAGTCTTTAAAATGAGCTGCAACATTAAAGAACACATGAATGCATCAATAACATATTACACATCATATTCTGCATAATGAGTACTTTTACTTCTGGTACTTCAGATACTAACTGTACTAACATTTTGAATGCAGGCTTTTTATTTGTATCTTGAGTATTTCTGCTCTGTGGTATAAAAACCTCTGAGTACGTCTTCCTCCACTGTGTGAACCTCGACACAATCCTGAGGGCCTTCATCGGTCTTTATCCACAGCGAGGGTCAGAGGATCCTCAAGGCCCTCAAAGCAAAGTCTGACTAACTGCTGTGAGGTGGAGGATGCTAATAATAGCATTAGTAATAGCATTAGCATTAGCACTAGTAACAGCATTAGTTATAGCACTAGTAATAGCACTAATTATAGCATTAGTTATAGCATTAGTAACAGCATGGAGACTCAGCAGACTGTGGACTCACTGCTGAGTTCATGAACCGTGTTCTGTGTCCCATCACTGTTTAACCCATCATGATATAAACCACAGTGTCTCTCTCTTCCCGTCTGTCTGTCTGTAGCTCGGGGGGTCAGACGCCTCGGAGAGATCTGGAGAAGCAGCTGACTGGAGAGGAAAAGTAAGCTGACAGAAGCTGTTTGGATCCAGTTCTTCTCTGACGACACTGAAGAGTTCAGCATTGTTCTAACTGATAGTAACTAATAGTCCTCCTCTTTCTCTTCCTCCTCCTCATCTCCCTTCTCTCTCTCCCTCCCCCTCATCTTCATCCTCATCCTCATCTCTCTCCTCCTCCTCCTCATCTCCATTCTCTCTCTCTCTCTCTCCTCCTCATCTCTCCTCCTCCTCATCTCTCTCTCCTCCTCCTCAGAGCCCTGAGACCCGGTGACCCTGGTTTCTGTGCCCGTGCTCGTGTACCGATGCCGTCCAACAAAGACTACGTAGTTCGACCCAAATGGAACGTAGAGATGGAGTCCAGCAGGGTGAGTCACACGAGGGTTTATTCTCCAGACTTTAAGGAAAGGAAATGATGAGGAGCATCCAGGTGGGAACGTGTGAAACGAGAGAACGTTTATTATAAATGTATAAATGTTTAGGAGTGATTCATCTCCGAGTTAAAAGTTGTTCTTTTCATTTTCTGTTACACGTGACACTTTATGTATTGAATGCACATTTGATATTTGGTAATAAGTCCATATTTCTGTAGTAATACTGTTGTACCACAGAGTACTACATGTACTTTGTGTAGCCTGACATCTAGCTTGCAATGAAAAGGAAGTTAAAGGAGAGAATCTGGTCAAACTTTCCTTCTGGAGGTCTAGCCCTGAACACAGGAAGTGAGGTAATGAGCTGAGCTGTGATTGGTCCTCTGTAGAGCGGCTATAAGAAAGGCCTCAGCCAGATGGAGAAGCTCAAGCGTCGCATCGCTGAGCAGAAGAAATCGGGCCGCCCACAGGGAGCCATGAAGATCAGCATAGAGGGGAACAGAATGCCCCTGTAGTCCCTGCTGCTGGCCTGTAGGGGGGGCAGTAAGTCCTTCTGTATGGCGTGTGGTGATGGTTAGACTGCTGTGAGGGTTTCCCTCCGGAGAAGACGCTCCGCTCTCAGATAAAAGACGGAGAGGAGCGTCTGTCTGTGGGGAACCGTCTGTCAGAGGACTAACTCACCTGTGACCAGTGGGACTCACACCAACACTGATCTCACTGCTCTTTGTGTTGGCCCGCCTCCTTCCACACACACATGTTTACATGATGTACTTCTACATACTCTGTGTGTCGCTGAGCAGAGAGAACAACTCCATCTCCCCGTCAGAGAGGTAAAGGGCTGAAGATATGATAAACCAAGCGTTCACTTCAACTGATATTGATCCTTTTACATATCTAAAATATGCTCCATCTACTGTAGTAATACACAGAGTATGTAGAAGTAGCTCATACAACCACACTTCATAACATCAGTACTGTCCCTTTAAACCTGAACCCTGTAGTCTCTGTGTTCATCCAGTGACGCCTGTTTGACTTCTAATGTGAACGACAGCGACAACGTCTTTATACGTTCCTACTTACTGTTTTACTACCAGTTTACATCTCTATATACATACATTACTACATCCTAGTTTAAATTAGTTTATTCAATTTGCAAATCCTTTATACCACAAATATATATTTGGTTTAATTTATATTCGATTTTCACGACCAACAACTTCTCCTCTGTAGTTGTGCACGTGATGATAAACGACTTTAAAACGTATATTTACCATCTATATCCATCATGTCCATCAGTATCGCACACACACACACACACCTCGTTCACACACTTGCTGGTGGGTTGAGGTCGATGCTTTTGGGAAGCTTGGTGATGCAACATCTAACTAACATTAACGCTTCCTCTGCATGAGCCGGAGAAGAGAAGAGTGATAAAGTGATGAAACATCTACAAAACACACTCTGCTTGTGTTACAAACAGCAAAACAAGTGATGTAACGTTTGTGTGCATCCATAAACTAGAAGATTTATGAGATTTTGTGTTTACACCAAATGTGGAAGCGAATCCTCGCCTCGCGTTAACTCGCACATGGGATAGATACCAACGCTGGTTATTCCCACCATTAACCTCTATGGTGGAAATAAGCACTTCAGCTGCTTTGTTCCTGTATTCTGAAGTCCCAGATGTTAAAAAGACAAACACCATCGTGTTCATAACATCATCCAGAGACGCACAAAACCAATAAATATTCACTGTCTCTAGCGTCGGCTGCTTTACGACAGCGTTATGACCCAAAACAAGCGGCTTTAGATGAGGGTTATTTGTAGTCGATGGATGAAAAAGATGCAGAAATAACGACATGATGCAGATTTATAAAACGTCTCTTCATGCTTCGCTTGTTGTTTTTCGGACAGACCCGACAAACAACTTTTTAAAAAGCTTGTTTTCTGAATGGAGTTTGGCTAGCTGAGTGCTAGGCTAAGCTAACACTGTAGCAGCTCCGTCAACACTCAAATCTATGTCATCTAGATGTAAATACGCCAGCGACGTTATCGGATTAAAGACATTTTAGTCCCTTTTCGTGACAAATTGCAAATTTAATTATTATTTTTTACAATATCAAATGACGCTTGTTTTGTGCTTGGTGTGAACGCACAGCTAAGTGTTTCATCACTGTTTATTGTTGTCTTTTGAAGGCAGAGCTGGTTAAACACTTAAAGGACCTCTGAACCCGTTAGCATCGTGCTAACACGTGATGTTTCTGTTTGTTTCAGCACGGTCCGATGAAGAAGGGAATGACCCGCGTCGACAAACAGTTGCGTAGATTCGCAGACATCCGCCGCCTGACGAAGCCGGGTCACGCTGTTAAAATCAGCGTGGAAGGAAACCGGATGCCTCTCTGATTTTAACCCTTCATAGGATTTATTCACCTTTTCTTTTTCTTTTCTTTTTTTTGAATGTGTTGTTTCCTGAACAAACCAACTGTCTCCCCCCCCTCCTCAGGTCCAGCTCTGCCTTAAGAAAGGCCCGAGGTCAAATCACTCCAACTTAAAGGGACAGTGTGTAGGATTTAGTGCCATC